CGGAACTGAAAAAGCACCACAGTCCTTGCAAAAAAACACACATAAAGTGGGTTTTTGCCAGTAGAAGTAATTTTTAATACTGCAAGGCATAGACATTAAGATGGACAACATCACAGCTCCCTATTCTTGTTAGCATAGAGGATATGAGCCTGACTAAAACATATTTTATCAATTGTAGCAAATATGTAGTCAAATTGACTTTTACGCATCACTGTGATATTTTGTCACTGTTTAGTTGCTTGATTCTAAAAAAAGGTATCTGATGACTGAAAGTGACAGGTAGCTCCTTTGAATAAATAAGTAATGTAGACATGTTTTAGCATCTGTTTAGATATTGTACATAAAAACATTGGAGGACTTTTTTAACATTTTTTAATAGTTTCTCTTATGGCTGATACAGCATTTTAGATATACAACAATAAACTACTGTTATCAAGTGAGCTACCATTTGGGTCAGGCACAAGTTGTGGCTACAATACCGGTACTATGGTAATGGCATGCTAGTTACACTCAAAGACATGGGCTAAAAAGGCAGGAAGTGATAATGGGTATTCCATCCATCTTTATATGCTTTCTATAACAGAAAGTTATAGTCTGATGTGGCCATTTGATTATCTATTGAGCCCTAAGCACCCAGTTAAGATGCAATTAATTCCCTATAAAATGCACACAAATTGTCACTGAAAAGTCATGACAGTTGAGTTCAGATTGCTTGTTGTTCTTTTTTGCATTCCAATACTATGGTTCAAAATACAGGTATGTATTTTGTGAAATACACCCTTTCTTGCCAAGAGCAGTGTTGCAGAGTAATAGAATACATGTACCGGCGTTATGTATTTAAAATACAAAATATGAGTAACTGTATTCCATTACAGTTACTGTTTAAAAAAGTGATAATAAGAATACAGTTACTGTGTTGAAATAAATGGATTACACTGCAGTTATTTCCTGTTTCACAGGCTGTCCCGTCTCTAATTTTGGCAATTCCCTGCAAACCCAAACCTGGAAACCCAAACAAAACGCAAAATACGAGTCTCTAATGTAAGCGTCCTGTTAATGTTGGTGGCGTCAGTTACACAATGGACCTGGAACAAGCACAACAGAGCCAGCAGTGCGTGGGCAGGAATGTATTTCTTACTTGGAGATTCTGACAACACTTCATATTTGCCAGCAACCAAGCTGCTGAGAGCAATAGTAATAGCACAGTCTGCTCATTTCCAGATTCTCATTTTTATTCTTCAATCATAATAGATTATACTATTTCTTTTATGCTGGGTGTAGGTGCAGGCACTAAGTTTATCCTCTGTCTGAAGAACAGCCAACTTTCTTTAGATTTGCTGCTCCTTGCAAACAGGTTTGAACACCATATGGGTTGGGAGACTAGAGCTGTGTGCCTGAGATGACCTTATTGGAGATATCTGTACTCACTGAGATAATAAAGAGCTAAGAGTAGAAAAAAGCTGTGTGAAACTGTACAATGTGAAGCCAGAGGTTTTACTTGTAAATAAAAATTACTTGTAAATACACTGGCATCAGTGTATTTACTTTAAACACTTTAAACATGTTTAATATGAAAATCCAATATTTTAACACTAATGCGTCTACATATGCATGTATATATAATGAGCATAGTACACCCTCTTTAATATCCACAGACTGTACAGATCCTCATTTTGGGGGGTTATTTTTATCTCCATTTGCTGAGAGTAACAATGCTCACTTCATTCCCCCTTGTACCTCAACATGGTGATGTTACACAGCACAAATTCTACAAGCCACAAAATATGTGTTTCAAACATAATTCTTGAGGTAATCATTAGTAACACACTGGAAAGTATTTGAAATGCTGGTTAAAAGCACAGAATTGGCTCTTCTAAAGTTTTTTTTTTACAAGCCTCACTTTTAACATCAAGACAAAACAGCAGACTTTACCCGACTTGTGCACGCAGCATGATTACTGTGTATGTTATCCAGGCAGTTGGTAGCTTTTGCAACGGCACATCTGTGGTATTGTCTTTCACTGCATGTCTACTCAAAATGCTTCTTGAGCTAGCATACTACATCTTCACTTCGAGTAGTACTCTGGACAGCTAACAGTCACTGTAAAGTTAAGGTGATACACTGGACTGGGAGATACTTAGAGATAAATTACCCCATAAAAAGGTTTACTTACACAACACCAAATTGTAAGCAACTAATTAATTAAAGATGCAACAATGGCTTGGCCAGGGACCATCTACTTGGAACAGCCTTATGCTATTCAGAGCTCAGAGCCAGCCAGAAGCTGCTCTGAAAAACAAAAACAGTTACAAGAAAAATTATGAAAATTTAAAAAAATGTTAAAGAAAGAGAGGTCAACATAATTTTATCTGGTAAATTTATAAACATACTGGAAATAATGCAACTACCTGATATTTGTTTTGTTATATAAATCCACCTGCTTACTTTTGGTAAGTTAAGATATGTCAGATAACAGTGGGTATATACCAACTCATTTCTGTTAATTATTTGTACCTCTTTTCACTGTTTAAAAAAGAGAAGATCCTGTTATTTAATGCAATTTGGGGGATTTATGAAGTTTAATTATTTATTTTAGTATGAAAATAATATTTTACTTTGAGAAAAGTTGAAAAGTTTGTTTGTATATGCTGTAAGTTATAGTTTTTAGAAAAAAAAAATCAGAATCAGCAAAAAAAGGAACTTGGAAGCAAACAACCAAATTGCAATTGGTGCATTTGCTTTTGTGTTCACAAACAAATAATTACATTTTATATGCTGTAATTACACTGGAATTCTATAAGCTACATAACTTTGCTGGATTAGACCCGGGTTATAGGGCACTTCACAAATGTAAAAGTGACTGGAACCACGGGGGAAAAAATCACAAAGAACATTTTTGGGGGTTGATATAACTTATTTACGCTCTATATTAACTAGAAAATACAACAAGGAACGTGTCTGCTTAGGGTCAGTTGTGATCAGTTTTTAATTACTGACACTCCTGAATCATAACAGTGACCCGTGTATTTTATCCATAAGATTCGGGCTAAAGTTGTGGAACATTTAAAGAAATTACTTTCAACATGATGAGGGAATACATTAAATTGATATGGAGTATCACACAGGCCCTAATGTTGCTGTCACACAAACATTTAAATTTCCTAGCACAAACAATTTTCTTCTGCCAATTTTCATCATGTTTTTTTAACAGGCTGAGGTTTATTTTAATATACGATTCTATTCTACTTTTACATAGTATAAGTTTGGATCATAGTAAAATACCTTTCCTTTCTGCAAAGGACCTCATAACTTCATTAACCACTTTAAAACATCTGCCAGTTTAATTTCAGGCATGAAGTGGATTCACAAATCTTTAAGACTTGCAAATCTATACAAGTATTTTAAACAACAATGCCTGTTTGAATTTTAGGCTTAATGATTTGATTTTTGTAATATCACTCGCACCTTTCACTTTTCTTATCTATTTAAAAATATATTTTGTAATGCAGTTACAGCCACATAATGTTAATTCCAAATAGACAGACAAGAACATGGAGTCTGTTTTAAAATTCTTATCTTCACATAACTTTAAAGCCAAGTACCTTTGTGTTACCTTTGTGTAAATTCCCTCTCATTTTAACAACTGAGAGGGAATTTACACAAAACGTTATAAACCTAACGTTTCTGGACTACCAGGACCAATAAACAGCATTATAAACCTTGTGATCTGAGTAGTTCAGTGTATAGTTCAGTGTGTGGTTGGTTAGCTCAAACTAAGCAGCTGAAGTTTTTTGATATTGTTACTTCTCTCTGGGTTGAGGCAGTTTTGTTTATTTCATTTTGTTGTAATCATTAAAATACTGATATAAAACCATTCTTGAACACATACTTTCTCTTGCTAGAAAGTCAGACAACACTCAGAAAGTATGTCAAGACAACAGTAAACTCACATCTGCAACCTTGGCACAACTCATATACGAACTCTATGTGGAACTATTTCTCTACAAAGACTAGATAACAAAAAAGATTAACATCCTATTCAATATCACAGTGTCTGCTGGGGTTATTTTGTGACTCTTTGCTGGGTTCAGACCCCAGATATGTTAATCAGGTTGGCGATAACCTGCCTCAGGTTGACTATTTTCTTCTGAAATTTAAAAAAGTCAGACAGGAATCTCTGTTAGACGTGTTCTCTACAAGCTTGACTAAAAAGAAAAACAATGGATATGAGTTCGAAACTGCAGAAGCGTCCAAAAACATGTGTAGATGAATCCTGTAAAAGTTTTTGGCATAAATTTTGTGGACATCTGTGGCTGGCAAGATAACTGCAAACATGGTACCATGAATAAACATGTTAGCACTTGTCAACCATAAGAATGATTGTTTCTAGTCCTTTATACTTTTAACGTAGGTGTTTTCCCCTTGTCAGTATAGTCTAAAGCCATAATTGTGCAAAAATTGTTTACCGAGCATCGAAACTAGCTCTCAGATCAATAAATAGAAGCTAAGTTATGGCTACGTCCACACTAATGTGTTTTCGTTTGAAAACGCATAGTTTTCTCTCCGTTTTGGCCTCCCGTCCACACTGAGATGGCATTTTCCCCAAGGAAAAACGCAGCGTTTTGAAAACGCTCTCGAAAATGCATATATTTCAAAACGGAGCTGTCCCGTCGCAGTGTGCACACTCAAAAACGCAGACTTTCTAAAACGATGATGCATTTTTGTCCTGTGATGCATTCATGTGACCAATTAAACAAAGATAGTGGAGGGCATTATACAGCAGTTGTTTTGATTGCTCTCAATTTTGACAGCCCTAAAAAAAGATTAATATCAGTTTGTACATACTCCAGATAGCTTTTCGTCAAATTCTTTAATTCTCACCCACTTTTGCGCATGCGCAGGACTGGAACGTAAGCGTTTTTGGCCGTTTCAATGTGGACGCGGAGCGTTTTCAGACGAAAACGCCGTTTTCAAATCTATCCGGGCTAGTGTGGACGTAGCCTAAATTAACATAATTCAGACAGTGAGGTTACACACCAAACTCCTGTTTCACATCTGACTCAAACCCCGTGCAGCAGTTTCCTCAATTTTGGACTCGCAGTCAACTTTTGAATCCTATAAGTCAAAGGTAAGGTTTTACTACTTAACTTACATAGGTCAACTGATGTTGCTGTAAAATTTCTACCATTATGTGCGTGAATGAATCTGAAAGGCAGAGGTCAGTTACAAATTGAAAAAAACACTTTGAAGGAAATAGTGGAATTATTAATAAAAGTTTCTAATTTTTTAGAATCTTAATGTACCAGTAAACTTTGATCTTAAGGAATATAAAATTATTTGGTGCTGCTGTTTCAGAGTCTACAGAACTACAAAGATTAAACAAACTGAGCAAATTGACTATGAAAATAATGGCATCACTTGATCTGTGGTATCACTGGCTACCATTCAGAGATGCAAAGTCAGAAATTCACAGGTTGCTCCTAGTTTGGTCCCAGAATATCTCCCAGTGTAATGGGCTGCTACCTCAGGTGGAGTGTGTCTTGACAGTATTTTCAGCTCTACGGTGATGTCTTTCGGCTCTCTCTCAGGATGCTGTCCAGGCCATTCAGCTGGCGGAGGAAACCTCGGTTAGGGATGACACCTCTGTGGTCTTTTACTGTCTTGATGGCCTCCACAAGCGTCAGATTTTGTCTGATCATCAAGTAGGCTAGCACCAGAGTAGCTGAGCGGCTCACTCCCACAGTACAGTGGACCAGAACCTTACCTGCACATACCAAAAAACATAATCACAAGTCCACGCAAATTAAACAACCTGCATAGAACTCAGTAGCCATGCACACAAAGAACCCAGCACATACACAAAACTGTTTGCTTTGTATCCACTGTGGCAGAAACATCAGTGTTGTTTTAAAATGCATTTTTTTACTATTTGAAAAATAAAGTTTGTCAACAGTTATTGTTTGCTGTGTAGCAGTGGAAATATCAACAACTGCCACTGGATTACATGAATCTTTAAAACTGGAGGATTCTAAGGCGAGCTCTGAAGCCTCAGCACTCCTGTTCCATTAGTCTTGTACAATATCAATATCTTGTACAAACAAACAAACAAACAAACATAACGAGGCTCAGGAAAGTAAGTGTGCATTGTGATCCAGCAATTATAACTTTGGCCAAAATACAGACATTTCATTCGCCAATAAAAAGTTGCTCAGCCTTCAGCAACACATGTAACTGCACGTATCATGACTGGATGAGTTTCAGGTTTTGCATTTTTTTCTGTATTAGAGTGAAGCCAGTGATAAATCAATACATCCACCCATGTACAGTGGAAATTACAGCTATAGTTAAAATGGCAAACTTAACTTTCAAAAAGTCAACAAATCCTGAAGACAACAAATTATTGATGTGCAGCACACATATCAAATCTTTCATAGTGATTTTGTAATTTATTCAAACTATAAACAGGCAAAATAAATAATAAGTTATGGTGTGTTTTAGCTACAGTGAATTTGTTCCAGCTCGGGTGGAGACTTTAATGAGTAAATACTTTTATAGAGATTCAAGTAGATTTCATTGCAGCACATTTATACTTTTATTTCAGTAAAATGTTATTTTTACTGAATATACATACACTATTGTATTACTTTTATATAAGTAGCAGATTTAGGACACTTCTTCCAAAGCTGTAAAATGCTGATAATCAGCATTTGATCAGAGCATTTGTTCACTGTTTATCAAAACAGTGAAGAATACTTTACTAGTAAACACAGATCTAAGTACCACCAGATTTACATAAGTTGATTTACGTAAAATGATAGAAACAACCTGAACTGTTCAGATCAGACAAATGAGCTACTTATTGTTGTCATATATTGTAAAAAGACAGTCTGTCACATACTCCTCTCTGTCCACTGCTCAGCGGACGTGTAACTTTATCTAGATGACCTATAATACTGGAACCTGAACCCGCAGTGAGTGGAACTCTGCAGCCAGAGGTGTACAGCTGTGTTTCACTGAGTGACCATTTGGCAGCAACATAAGCACTGGAGAGGCTTCCAAATTTAGTTTCCAAATTGTACACAAATACGGTTCAAAACAACGCTGATCATGGCGCCACCTTGCTTTAATGCAGTAACCTGAAATGTCCATTAAAAGTGACCAATCACATTAGAACCCCTCTTCCTTTGGGCTCTGCTCCAAACAGTCAAAATTCAGTTCATTTGCAGGAGCAAGAGTGAGAGTGTGAATCAAAGTTCTGCATGCACAGGTTGTTGAATTTATGCAGAGGAATTTAATTCTAGATTATGTTTTTTCCTGCGTGGAATTTTTGACATAAATAATTCCATAAGATTACAAAATGTTAGGTCAAAATGTTTTGCTTAAGTTTGTTCTGCAATTGGAATTCCCACCATCTCTGGCTCCAAAAACAACATGCCAGTGGCCACAAAACTAACATTACGCCAGATTCCAGAAATCAATGGATGATGTCACAAACTTCCATTATTTTTATACAGTCTGCAAAAGAGACATACAGAACCAGAGTGTGAGCTTGTGGATGTTTGTTTATATTACAATCTTCAGCGTGGTTTTAGGATAGCTGTGCCCCTGATCACTGCTATTAAACACAAATGGTTGCTCCCCTCATCCCAGTGCAAATTACTAGGATAAATTGATGATTTACTAAAGACTATTAGCTACCCTAAAAATATTTATACATATTTTATATAAATGAAAATAGTTTCATGTAATCAGTGTAAACAATATACTAAATATTTGTTCATACTTTAAAGAAAAAGCTAAATGACCAGTTAAGACAAGGGCTGTGCCCCAAATTCCTCTTTTCTTCTTCTTCTTCACTACATTAGACATTTGCATCATTATTTAGACCTGTTGAGCCACACAAGTCTAACTATATAACACAACATTTAAGTGTTTTTGAAGAAGAAACAGCATGTAGTGGGAAAATTTATAAACTAAAAACAGGGCCATTCAAATACAAATGGATGAATCTGCTAAAGCAAGGTTACATTAAGCTTTCCCAGTAGTTATATAAGACCTTTCCTAGATCAAAAAGAGATTCATTTAAAATGTAGAAGATACTACAGTCTGAAAATTTTTTAGGTCTTAGGTCTTTGGGCAAGACACTTCACCCGTTGCCTACTGGTTGTGGTCAGAGAGCCCGGTGGCGCCAGTGTCCGGCAGCCTCCCCTCTGTCAGTGCGCCCCAGGGTGGCTGTGGCTACAATGTAGCTTGCCATCACCAGTGTGTGAATGGGTGGATGACAGATTGTGTAAAGCGCTTTGGGGTCCTTAGGGACTAGAAAAGCGCTATACAAATACAGGCCATTTACCATTTACCATTTAGGTCAAAGAACAGTCTTAGGTCTTAAGTCTTAGGTCAAACAACAAATGTATTTGTTTACTCTAGTAATATAATAACTCATTTTTACTTAAAATTACTTTAGTCAATGTCTATCCATCAGGCCATCAGGGTTATATGGGGTTCAGTCTTGCCCCGGGATCTTTTTTTGATATGCAGAACACAGAGCTTCTAACTGCTAGATGACCTGCTATTTGAAGTGATAATTTTCCCTCATGTTATCAATTAATAATACATTTTTCATAGCCATCTTTCAAAAGAATCAAAGATACCTTGTAAGCAATTAAATAACAAAAAACACAGCATGCAAAAAATAACAATTGGAAGAGCGCATAGATTTAAAAGTCAATAGATCATAAAATTAAAATCAAACACAGTAGAACAGAGAATCTACCCACACAGACCCCCACACACCCAGACTCAGACAAACCTCCACTGGTGAGGGCTTTGTGAATGAACTCAGAAGCAGGATAGAAGTTAACACTCATGTCAAAAGTTGGTGAGTCATGAGCCTCAATGCCATGATAGGTGATGTTCATCCCAGCATAATATTCGGCTCCCCCGCGCCACTTCGTCTGTGCGCAGTTGAGGATATGTGTAATGCCAAGTTTGGCCAATTCTCGTCGATCTGATGCAATGTCCCTGCAGAGGAGAGAAGGTATTTCCAGCTCTAGCAGTTAAACTGTTTTCACTTGACTACATAACTTGTATGATTTATGCTGACATGTAACTCTTATGTGACTCCTAAGCTTATGAATGAGACAAACAGATACTGCTGGGTGATGGAGCTAGATATAGATGTTAGATAAATACGCTTGCTTTAGACTAAACAACTTTCAGCTTATATGGTGGAATGCCAGAATATTACTTCATTAAAATTAGTTCTCATTGGGTGCTCATTACTGACTAGTAGTAATGGGTATTTTTATTTCTAAGTAATACGTTACTAAGAAATTAATACTTTAAGTATTTATTCACTGTTATTAAGACACTCTGAATATTTACTTCTTCTGCCACCGTTTAGAGGTTAGAAACACTCACTGGTCTCCGATATAGAGTCGTGGCCACACTTCGTCTGCATGGTTGCAGGCCGTTTTGCCCGTGTAAAGGAGCCTTTCTAGCTCGGAGACGGTCAGAATCGGGGAGGAACGTTCAGAGTCTTTTCGGCTCGGAGACCTGGAGCTGCTCCGGGACCGAGAGAATCGAGACATGAACGCCATTAAATCTGTGAAAACAGAGATGAAAAGAACGGGTCTTTTATTATTATTATTATCATTATTATTATTATTATTATTAAAGAAATTCACACGCGCGTGCGTTCATAATAAAACGAATAAAATTTAAATATAAACTGGTTGTGTGTTGTAATCCTTACGTTTATTATTTGAATATGACATTTTAATAACAAATGTACCTATAGCTTTATGTAAATAATTCGTAGCATGTTAGTTTACAGTTGCGGATACAAACAAAAGCATGCAGATCATGAATTTTACGTGTTTTTTAAAAACGCGAATACCATATTTGTATTTACCTGTGTTGTTTTATTCCGTGTCTCAGTTATGTGGGGCTAGGTGCTCTGCGGCCATGTTGACTAATTTATTTGTTATGGGAGGATAACTGTGTAGACGAGACAGCTGCTATTGCATTCAGTGGGCATCTTCACCGTCTTCTCAACAAGTCTTCATTGAGGTGCGTGACTCCGAGGACATAGCTCCCGTTATAAAACGAAATTTAACGAAATTTAAAATAATGTGAGCTTACACAGTACAAAGAGCTTCTCCAGTTCTTCTCTGTGGCAATTTATAGTCGGTTGTGTTGAAATAAGCGACTTTCAGCTGCTCCTTTAGTCACATTGGTCACAAGGGGTCGCCACAGCGAGTAAGTCTGCATATTTGATTTGGAAGATTTTTACACCGACTTCTTGACACCATTGTGACTAAAGGAAGCAATTGAAGGTCGTTTATTTCCCGACGCAACCCCAAAAGGATTTGTGAGCACTCCTGGGATCGAAGAGGGATCTTTCAGTTTTTATGCGAATGTTGCTATTGCTAACTGAAATGATGGCTTTAATGGTATTATTTAACATTAATGGATTTTAGTCATTGTGGTGTTTGCTACCATCTGCTGGTCAAATTGGGGTAAAGCATTAAAA